CTTTGATAATAGCAAATTAAAAGCGCCTTTATTTGGTAAATATTGTATTTTACAACTACTGGAATTCTAAATTAGTGGAAAAAAACTTAGTCAAATCCTCCTTTTCCTTGTCGTAAATTCAAGAAATTACCACTAAAGTAAGGTCTGCGGAAGACTCCATGGTAAGCGCTGAGATCAGCATTTCTTTCTCTTCCTCGGTAAAAAGCGAATGAATATCTTTAACAGGCATACTCGAGAGGATACGTTGTGAAAGTTGAGCTAGCTTCTTGTATTCCAAATTATTCACCAACATAATTCCTCGGACCGAGCTCACAGTGAGTTCGTCAAGAGTGGACGTCATACTAAGAAGACGAACAAAAAAGAGAATTACTTTCTATTCAACGATTAGTATGAGCAGAACGAACAACGTATTATAAATTAATGGCTGAAGGAGTCAATGGTAGTCAAACTCATTTAAACTAGTGAAACCAAACACTAACAATTTAACCCCACACTCTAGGATTAAATTCAAATAACACCAAAGAGAATTAAGAGGAAAGCTATGTTTAAATAAAAACTAATACATACTCTTATTCACCTGCAGCGAAGGCTTCAAGATGTAAATATTCAAAGAGTACAGCACGCAACTAAATACTTGATTCGATCATGAAACAGCATGAAACAGAGTATACAGTAGCGAAGTCTTGTCCTTTGTTTCAGTACCGTTGGGAAGTACGACAATACTGCTCCTCGTTTAGTGGCACGACTTTTGCAAGCCAATTACTTACCGTCTGGCAAAATTCCAGTTTTTAAAAAAGATAACGTCTATGATTTTCAGTTGGTTTAACCAATTTTATGTCTGTTTTTTTTCTTGGCTGCGTTGGGTTTTTTGTGTTCTTCAAAAATATTCTGAAAAGCAGCCCGTTAAGCACATCATTTTGTCTTCTAGACGTCCCGGTCTCAAAGAAAAAAAAATTGCGTTGTGGGAGTGAGAAGACGGTTGGAAAGTTGGTAGGATTTGGCAAATTGACGGGAAAAATAATAAAATTTATTCTTCTCAACAAAAAGGTACAGTGTTTAGACAAAATAGGAAACTTTTTACAATGCACCAACTAGTTTGTTACTTGTCGGTTTGAAATAAAATAAAAGTATAAGTTTGTTTGATTTTTTCCGGAGATATAACTGCTACAGAACCTGACTAGTCTTTGGGACAGTCTATAATACCATGTTGTAAGTGGTGAGGATGTCACAGCCGCTCGCGAAAGGCAGCGTAGTGAAATAAAGGTCACTGTAGCTTCTTGAGGGGAAGCTCCCGGAGGGGTTGCAGACAGGCCACGTGAGCGGACGAGAGCGAGGTATAAAAGAGGCAGTAGTTGGTAAACAGTTCAGTGTTGCTCTTGTTAGAGTTCAGGTTGTGCTTCCGGTTGATCCTGATTACTCATCTGTGACTGTCTACCTCAGTTTACATTGCTATTTTCTGTTAATACGTGCCCAGTAGGCAGCTTATGATCTGTTTAATTGATCTTAAGTTGTTCTTATTTGTAATTTATATTTCTCTTCTTAGTATACTGCTGAGTGTGGACCAGTGTCAACCAGAGTTTCTGTTTGTAAAGTATAAAGTGAAGTAAGAATAAGAGGGTTGAGCATAGGAACGAGCTCCAACATACCTAGAAGGTATCACCCGAGTGGTACATAAATTGTCATGCTGTAGGAGATCTAAGAAATAGAAGTCGAGAGACTCAAGTTAATAAACGTTGCAATCTATTGGTTGGTACTGCGACGAGTAAGGGCTAAACTGCGACCCACAGTAAGAATAGCGTATTACTAGAAAGGCCCTTGTTGGGAGTGTAGGAGGATTACTACCGTAGTAATTCTTCAATTTAGGAAGGTGTCTGTTAGCAAAACAGAAGACGATCATTAATTCAATGCTTAATGACAAGTTAACCGGACCTTAAGAATAATGAAGTATCGTGAGTTTGGAATATTCCTTATCAATTTGTTCTTCCGTTATCACAAAACTAGGCTAGGTTTACCAAATACAGTTGATTGTAGGTTTCTGTCGATACTTTGGGGCAATACTTTTTGATTGTGTACAATGGGCTTCGAGTGGTCAA